ATCTTGTTTGACCAAAGAACACGTGACTTAAAGTCTGAAAGTTTTAAAATAATTTGAGAAGTATTAAATGCCACTTAGGCTAGAGTAGATAAATATTGAGTCTATTGGTAAGTTACAGTATGATATAGTGAAATATAATTTGATTGAATTAGTTAGTTAGTTCAGTCCTATGATTATGTAATCTTGTTCACTTCCTGTGGAAGAGCAAAGATACTGTTACGCATCTAGTCGTTTGTTAATTTCCCGGTATAAATTCTTCCCGGAGAACTTCAGAGGTACAAGTCATTTCTTTAATAAAACTAGTTTATTCTTTCTCAATTCAACTTTGCAATACACTTAATTTCCACAGTCCCTTTAAACACACTTTATAATTCACAATAATTCACGCACTTATTTACGGTCACTACCGCGCTTGACTCAATTGTCCGTCTTTATCTCTGCCTGTCTGCAATTCAATTCCGATTAATTTGTCTCACGTTATCCGGCGCACTTATATAGAGGAATAGAGGGCGCCTAGCACATACTGGATTATTCGTGATATTCCCTGATTCTTCTATAATATCATGACGTGTTATTAGAGTCACGTGACTACCGCTGTCGTAACAATACTTATAGAAGTTAAAATCAATTAAGGGTTCTCTTTCCCTTATATATGCTACTTGGCATAATTTTTGACATACCTAATCAAAAGTTTATGGCATACCACACTAGGACTCTTTTGTCTGACTTGAAAGTGCGGTATAAAATAATTCTTACAGTCTTTGTCCTCTGGAGACATATATATATAAAGTTTCTTTTACACTAGCATCCAGTGAGAAATAACAACGAATAAGAATCCAGACAGTTTGGCATTGTTGTAGGGCATGTTCTAGCCAACTTGAATGTTTGTAATCTTGTTTTGCCAAAGAACACATGGCTTAAACAATTTGAAAAGTATTAAATGTCAGTTAGGGTAAAGTAGATAATTATTGGGTCTATTAGTAAGTTACAGTATGATATAGTGACCTAAAATTTGATTGAATTAGTTAGATAGTTCAGTCCTACGATTATTAAGTTTGTGTTTCTGTATTACAATAAGCATATATTCTGTACATTTGGTTAAGCAATAGAATTGGCAAATGAAATTGTTGCATTCAAATCTAATGGGAGCCTGAAGTTATGACAGCGGAAGTCACGTGACACTGCTCGCGCATGCGTGATGAGTTTCTCGAATTATCAGGAAACTACTCGAATTTTGTCTAAGCCTCTTTGTAAGCCTGGCGAGAAAAGCCAGCGGACGGACGATGATGAATGAATGTAAGAAAAAACGAACAGTAGTCACGGTAAGTTTCGTGTAATTTACGATTCTGTTTCGGGCTAGTGTGTGTTTTGCACTCGTAGAGAGCGAAATTATCGAGATTGTGATTCGCTGTGATTTATAGCGTGCT